GGGCAAGAGGTCTGCGGGGAGGGCCGCCACACGCGTGGCGTGGGGCACCGAGCAGGGCCGAGGCCGGTACGGTTAGAGCGGTACGTGGCCGATGCTGGGACGGGGACTTGGCGGGAGGCTGTCGGGTGTCCCGCAGGCCACGCCTGAGCACGCGTTGCGGCCCGTGGCGGGAGGGGGTGCAGCAACGTCTGGAAGGATGGCGTGAATTGCGTTTCTGGTCTCGATGGAGAGCTCGGAGGTGGACTAATCTGGGGCGTTATCTGTTACTTTCCAGGCTTTCGGAAAGTTGTTTTTTCAGCGCCCCCTTTTTTTTTAAAAAGTGAGGTTTTTTTTCGTGCTCCCTTGCCGATATTTTCAAGGGCCTTTGCAGGGAAGAGACTGATTGTAGAGGGGAAAAAGGCTGCCAAACGCGCTAAGTCAACAACGAAAAGGGGGTAGGTTGGTTTTGATAAATTGATCCAGTTCTAGTAATCTGAAGTGTTTCGTTGTTACAAAAGGCAGTGTCTGAAACTGTAGTTTGCAAGCTGATACTGTCCTTTAAATATCTCACAAACAGTTGTCCAAAGATTATTTTTATCTAAGAATTTTTTTACTGTAATATTTGTTTTGTTTCTTTTTTAAGTGTTTTAAAACTAGAGAGAGGAGGTAACTTCTTCGCAGACAAATGTTTTCTTTCAAAGATGAGAGATTACTAAAATTGTCCTAAAAGTGTAAAAATAGTATTTATTACTTTGTGAATGACAACACAGGCTAATATTAGATCTGGAGCTAGTGATAACCGCTCTTTTTGTTTGCCACACATGCTTTTTAGAAATAAACTAATACTTAAGGTCTGTCATTCGTTTGAAAATGAGGCTGAATTTGCGTCTGAAGGAGTTAACAGCTATAGAAACGTTGAATCTCATGCTTGGCGTGGAACAGGGAGCTGTGGAGCTCATGCACCACATCCAAAGTCCCCTGAAGTCTGTTGAAATCCAATACACTCTGACAGGTTTCAAATGAGACCCTAAAATGGAAGCTCGGCCCTACGTCAGTGGCCACCCAGATCCTATTCCTGCCTCAGAATTAATCTTTGAATATGCTGTAACTCCAGTTCCTGTACCAGCCACTGTCTCTCTGTAAGACATTCAAATGTTCTCATCATCCTATGACAACGTTCCACCGAATGTATATAGTTTATATATACACGTATATATTTTAGGGGGACGATACTTGCAGTCAGTGATCTTACTTAAGTGTAACTAAAGGAAGAATTTAACCTACTAACCTTTCCCCCGTTGAGATTTAGGGACTCCAGAAATGTGAGTCTAGACTAGCATGGAAGAAATGTATCAAGGGTTTTGAAGTTCCTCAGTGCTAGTCAGAAGTCGGCAAGCAAAACTTTAGTCTCAGACAAACTCAAAAGCTCAGGAACTAGTTTCAGTTCCACCCCCCAACCCCCCCAATCTCTTCTGACATAAAGTTAATTAGGTGAAATTTCAAGCTAAATGGGCTTTTTTCCTATGCAAAAATATAAAAATAGATCAAATATGAGCTTAGAGTGGAAATTTGGAATCAATTCCCCATCTTAATAGGGTTTAAGTACAGAAATGTATTTGAAGAATAATTTTGGAAACGTTGTCATTTCATGAACTGCTGTTCATCAGTCTGATTATTCTGCATCTTCATATGCCTCAGAAACATTAGAATTTTTTTTTTTAAAAGCAAGGCATTTGGTGGAAGTGTAATTTATCGTATGGTTTAATACCACTGTGATTAAATTCTACCTAGATTATTAAACAGGCTTCGCCCAAGAAATACAATATCTTTACTATTCAGCTCGGTCGCTAACACGGAAGAGCACGCTGGAGGGAGATGTGCTGTGCTTCGGTGACTTTGTTCTGAAGGGCCTATGTCCAAACAGAGACTCCATCAGAGCAGCTGTGGGGCTGCTTGAATTTACAGAAGGGATCAGGTGGGTTCCTGCCAACTGCAAAATACAGCACTGGGAGTCCCGGTTTTTAAAATCTTTGTCTATCTTTCAGTTATCTCGCACAACCTCTAGACTTGATGCAGAGGAAGATAACTTTGTATTTCATGGTTAATTTGTGCAGCTTTAGAAGGTTTAAACCTCTTCACCATTAGCTGGTCATTTCAAAAGGAAGTTTCTGCTAGGGCAGTTCCCCCTACTTCCCTCCAAGAAGAAAGGCTCCCAGAAATTAAGTTTCAGAACTAGCATTTTAGGTAAGGACCACCTTTCTCATTCCTGCTACCACATTTGTTTGTCCATGTGATTGCCCCCAACTGAATAAAGAGAATTTCCCTGTGATCCCCTTTCATTTTGGGAAAGGTTGGGGAGGTCGGGGGGGAAGGATTTTTTTGGGCTGCGCATTCCTTCTCTTTTCCTGAAATGGAATTGCCTGACTAAGGTAGTGTGATATTTTCAGATATTTTGCCAAAAAATGCACAACCCAAAACAAAAAATATGATTGCACCCCCTTGCTAATTGTGTGACACTCAAGCATTTGTCTATCTCGCACTGCATGATGATGCGATACAGAAGCAGACAGCCATAGATGGCCAGAAAAGGCTTAATTAAGTATTCTGCAGCTGCTACAAATTAGATCAGCATCTGCATCTGTATAGACAATGGAATTCATGGTAATTTTGAGGGCCGAGCAAAGCAGAGAGTTGTTTTGGATAGACCCCTAGCCACAATTGAAACAAAATTCAAACCAAACCTGTTCTAAGGGTAGAAAAACGTTGGTCAACTTCATCTCCTGTTGCTGAAGGCCACTATGGTTCCCTGTCCTGGCTACAGATACAGATTCCAACATGCCACATGAAAGGCTGCTGTTAGGGTATTCCCAACTAGAAGAGGAAATGTGCTTTATTTTTTTTTTTTTCCTTGAAACCCAGTTCTCAGGAGTTTCCAGACTAGACTGTGAGATATATTTTAGATAAGCACCCAGCTTTTTGACTGTTTCTCTGACAATTTGCCTCTCTTTCCAATTGCATACCACTTTCTGGAACCAAAGTTGGAATAAGTGGTATGCAAATTTTAAAGGTCAATCATCCTGCCTGTTGTAACAGCGTATGCTGTATGATATTTGCAGCATAAATTGAGTGTAGAATACAATAGCAATAGATTAGTACATGGAATGAGGGGAAAAAGGTATTGTTGGCAAACTTTTATACAGGTATGCTTGCATGCAGATATCAAGAAGTAATAGGTTATTCTCTGGACGTTTTGAGAAGATGCACTGGTTCTGAGTGTTTGTAAACTCTTCGGTACTAAATTAATGTTTTTGTTTTGCATTTGAACAGCTCCAAACACAAGCGTTGATCCGTAAATGTGTTTTCTAAGTGCTGCTGTAATGCTAATATTTCTATTATCAAAACAATAATTAATATAAAACTTTTATTAGACGTTTTAGAGAGGCCTTTTGAAGGTTGACAGCTCTTGTTGATAAGTGAAGAAGAACTTGTAACCTCTGTGGCCATAAAATGTAATTGCACAATAGTTGGGTCAGCTTTTAGATGTGCTTGTGCCACTTATGTTCGTCTATATTAGAACTTCCATGAGCCTCCAGCTGTGATGTCATTGGTTATAACTCTTCCCATGGAAGCACTTTAAAAAGTTGATATTACCGAGGTTAAAAGGAAACTAAGCCTCAGAGGTCATGTTTGGGTATGTACTTTGGTAGATGTATTTCATCTGAAGTTATTGTTGCTGTCGTATGATCTAGTTTGAGCATCTTTGCACAGCTCCTGTGTGGTGCGGACAGATTTAAGTCCCCATTTCTGGTCTGTTACCTTCTGCAAGCCTGCACCAATCAGACCAGCAAGATCTGATTTCAGCGATGACTTTACAGATAGCTACACTGACACGGTTAAAGGAGAAGAAACCTGGTTACTAAATCAAAGCGTTTCTGAACTAAAAGAAGTTTCTGAAATTGAGGGTTGTTATTTTCGTCAGGCAAGTAAGGACCATACAGAGACAACTTCAGTTCTTTTTTTATTAACCAATTAATCTCCAATCAAATATGTATTGAAACCTCTTGAACTGACCCACTAACCATGTCATTACCCTTTCCATTTTTAAACTCTCAGTAACACTTAAATAAGTAAGTTGTGGTGGCACTAGTGTTTGTCTTTACCTTTTATTGTTTTCGTCAGGCAAGTAAGGACCATACAGAGACAACTTCAGTTCTTTTTTTATTAACCAATTAATCTCCAATCAAATATGTATTGAAACCTCTTGAACTGACCCACTAACCATGTCATTACCCTTTCCATTTTTAAACTCTCAGTAACACTTAAATAAGTAAGTTGTGGTGGCACTAGTGTTTGTCTTTACCTTTTAAATCTACAGCAGTCTGAGGGTCTGTGCTGTAAAGCCCCTTTCCGCTATTATCTTTGGACATGACTTAGTTGTCCTCCTGGCTGTGACTCGTATAAAGGAGAAAGGGCTGGAGAACAGGTACGTATCTGGAAGGGAGTTAGGAGATTGACTAGCTCTTAAGTGAGACCGAAGGGTCTTTTGGGTAGGATATCTAATGATATACCTTAGACATTCAGGTAGGATGAAGGTGGGGCAAAAGGCATATGGGCAGAAATAATTTAAGAAGGACTGTCACTGATAGGGGTAGACAGGTTAAGAATTTCTGGATTAAAATGAGATTCAGTGAGGAGTTCCTGCATCCTTTTTTTGCAGCTTAAACCCAGCAGTTTTGAAACTATTTAAGGAATAATTTCTCCCAGGAACCAAGGAACAAGTGCTTCTTTGCCCTACGTGGGAGCCAGTTCCCTCATATTTCTGAGGAAGAATACAACCCAAAACCTCATTTCAGTGAGGTTGTATGTGCCTAGGATCTAAAGTGCTATCGCTAGCATAGTGGTTGAGGATTGAATGGTTAATGAAGTCAGTCAGTGCAAGGACACATAATTAAATGGATAGCCATATCTTTCTAAGGGTAGGAACTATCTCCTGATATACAAGTAGATTATTTCACAATCTCTTCTGTTTTTCTCAACATTAGTAGGCTCTTCATTAATTTTTATAATTATTGCACACAATGTTAATTTGTTATTACCAAGCATTCTTCTACAATAGTGTCAAACTCAGGAGATGGATTGATACTGGGGAAAGGGCTATTTGCATATAGTTACATTGGTTAGAGAGTATCCTGCCACCACTTAAGAAAGCAAAGAAAAAATAATGAATGCTGCACATATCTATAACAAAAACTATAGGAACCGTCGATTTTGTATACTTCTGTAACTTTATTAGTATAGCAATAAAAGAAAGTAGAGAGAGATGAAAATTACTGGGGGAGAGCTTTTTTTTTAAATAAAAAAACCCCAAACCAAAAACCAGACAACCCAGATACAGGAAGATTTGTTTTGCTGAATTAATCCTTAGCAGCTGGGTATCATACTATTCAGCTTTTTTTTTTTTGTCCTGACAGATGCTGTCATGTTTCAGGGTACAGTGCATCGGCTACATTAATATTAGATTGAACTTCATATGCTGTGAGCACAACTTGCAAGTATATATGTAGAACTAGCATTACTATATATATTTATGAACGAAGCAGTAATTGCTGTTTCATTCATTCTGTGCAGTTATTTTACATGCTTCCAGCAAACTAGTATACCTTAGCTTAAATCTATATGTTTATCCTTTGTAAGCTGTATTTACTGAACTTGATTTAGAATCCAGTGCCTTTAGAGTTACGTGTAGAACACACTGTTGCTTTTGTCTTTATTGAAGATTTCTTAAGTGGTGCTTTCAGGACTTGCCTCATAATGCGAGTTGCTTTCAAAGGAACAAAACCCAATTTAACTGTGCAATAAATTGTTAGTACTTTCGTTGGAGAAGGCAACTCAGTTAACAGTTTGTGTATCTGTACATTGTGACAAGGGATATGCTGCAAGGCCGGTCCACATTACCTTGTTTATGGTGAACGGTACAGTGCAACAGCATTTTTGAAATGGGATAGCAGGGAGGAGCTGCGGGCAGTCGCTGGGAGCGGTGTGGGAATGCCGGGGGTGTCTTCGCATGGGAGTGGGCCGCAGTGGGGTGCAGGGGTGGGGAGCGGCTGCAGAGCCGTCCGTCTGGGGCCACTGCCAACACTCCGGGCCCCCAGAGGGGAGGCAGGCTCCGTACGTTGCCAGTGGACTGGCAAGGAGGGTTCTCCACTGCTTCCTAACGTGCGTGTGTTCCTTTGATTTTCAGGGAGGCGGTCTCAGAACCAATGAATTTTTGAACGAAAAAATGAGTTAATAAAAGTCCATGAAGAAAGTTACATGTATTTTGTAGAATAAGATTTTGCTTACTGTACCGAGGGGAAAATAATTATAAATTTGAAATGTATATATACGTACTTACATATATGTACGTACACACACACTTTATATGCACAAGTGTATACACACTTCAAATTTATAATAGAAATATAAAATGGAAAGTTTGCATGGTTTAAGTGCTCATACATGAAGCAGTAATTAAGGCAATTCATCCTACTTTTTCCCCCTAATTATTACCATGCAGTTCATCTTCCTACCTAACTTTCAAATGCAACTTCATTGCTTTCAGTGGAAAGTGTCCAGTTTTCACCAGCGTAAGTGAAAGGAGAAGGCGGCGCAGTATGCTTTGAAAATACTATGTAACACTGCATGAAAAGCCTTGAATTAACTTTTGAAGAACATAACACAGAGTCACTAAATTGCGATTTTTGCCAAAGCTTTGTGGTTAAATCCCATTTTATATTTACACGCACTATGGAATAACTAATGTAGATGTCTTCCTGACACTAAAGCTTGAATTTATGGGAAAAAGACAAACATGTGGTTGAAAGCTGAGCTAGACTGTAGCTTTTCAAAATAAAAGAGATAAAAAGATAGTTGTAGAATAAACTGCCCTAGTTTACAAAACAGACAACAGACCTCTTAGTTGATGGGGAATAGTTAGTACAGAAATAAATGAGTGTACCAGGCATTTTAGGGCTGATTCTGTTTTTAACCGAAATAGTAGTAAAGTTTCAGTGAATTAAATAACGTTTTCCTATTTCTTGATCTCTCAGTATTTCATTAATAATAGAAATATTTTAGAATTTCACTTAATGTGCTTCACTCTGATGATGAGAAAAATAAGAAACAGACTGATAAGGGGCACTCATTTAAGTTTAATGGTATAAATTACCTAGTGTGTAATCTCCACCTTTTGCAACTTTAAACAATCTTTTTCTAGAAAAGTAAAGCATTCTGTACTGAAGTTTTCTTCTACAAAATACCCTTTTCCCCAAATACAGTGAAATATAGAATAGGAATTTCATGAAATTATCCAGGAGTTTGTCACATTAATTACTGTTTCTGAGCCTTTAAAATCAATACAGTAAAATGCTAATGAACTTACAGTATACAGAATTAAAGGCTCTAAACCAAAGAGCCTATATGTTTTTCTTGGTTAGTGGAGCATGTACAATGTCTAGTTAACTCTAGGAACTGCCGTTTCTATTTACTGTCTTCGGATTTAACAGTGCTTGGTTTTAATGGCTGTTTAGGGGATTTGGTTTCCATACATTACAAATGTTATGCATGAAACAGCGATGTTTTACAGGCATTGCTTAGTTTAAAGGCAGCTCTAGTTTTGGGGTTTTTGTTTTGTTTTATGTTTCATACTTCATCCAAGAAAGTATCTTTTGTATTTAGAGGTTTACTTTACGCTTTGACTAGTAATGTTTTATTCTACTAGTCTTTTATTCTCACATACAGTAGGATATTCTTGCGGCAAACAAAATTGTGATTATTTTCATATAGCACATTCCAGAAACAAAAATAATCTCTGCTGCGCTTTTCCTGCCTCCCAAAATGAGGAAAATGGATGAGGATTAAGGCCTGATCTACCACTGCTGAGGTTGGAGTTCCCTGTCAACTGTCCTGGTCCCACACCAAGCAGCATAGCTGAAAAAAATCACAGATCAGGGATGTTTAAAAGGGCCTCAGGTATTATTATTCAGCCTAATCTTAGGCTGTCCATTGCTGATAAATAATTTATTTTGACATATGGGGAATATTCACTACAGAAGTAGTCTAACTGTATATTGACGTATGATTCCTTTCTCCCATTAGTGTCTTCTGTGGTGTGCATGTGGATTGTGAATATGGAATCTGTTTACTCAAAAAGATTCATATGGTCAAGTTTTCTGTCTGTTTACTTGCTCGAATAAATGTTTTCAAGTTAACACAACAATTTGTAATGAATACTGTGAAACAAAGTTAAAAGAATGAGTTCTTGAAATAGAAATCATAATAAAAATGCTTTTCTCCTCTCCAAAATATTTATTTTAACATGTGGTCACATTTTCCTACATTTTCACATTAATTGAAATCTTATTGTTCTAGAAAAATAAATCTTTTTTTTTCCTTCGTCTAGTTTCCCAGCTCTTACGCAAATTAAAGAATACACACACGAGCATAATTTGTGGTTTTAAAATAAGGAAAATCGTGTAAATTCATGATATCTTTTAAAAAGCATCATGCCAAGCAGTGCTGTCATGTAGCCTCTGTTTTGTAGTTTACCTTTTCACTTTAGTGAAAGGCAGCAGTTTTGCAGTGTAATCCTTTGATTACCAACAGTTTTGCATTATAATCCTTTGATTTACCAAGTCTGTAAAATGTTCTAAAGATTGTTAATTTCACTCCCTTATTTATTACAAAGTAATCTTACGCTGATGTTCAGAAGGAGTTTCTAAGGCTCTGGAACATCCGCTGAAGATCCAAATACTGGGAACAGTCTACAGACAACACATCCTTTTTATTTATTTGGAAATTACCAGGATAACTCATTTATTTTAAAGGAGTCAGATGGAGGGGACACAGAGTACACCCCCAGTGCTGTCTGGCTTCTGGTGTTCCTGTATGTAATCCTCTATGTTCTTTCCATTCAGCTTCACAGAAACAGTTTGAAAGAAACTGACTATAAATACCCAGCCACTTTCAAGAAACTTTTCTTGGCAGCAGAGGCTAAAATCAAGCACCATATCAAATAAAATGGGAAGCATGCTACAAAGCTTATCTGCTTTCTCTTGAAGAAAGCTTTGCGAGCGTAGCCACGAGCCTGGAGCTGAATCACCCAGTGCTGCGGCAAGCAGAACAACTCCAAAGACTTAAGAATCATTTTTTAATCGTTTTCTCTATTAAAACTCACCAGTGCCCTTCTTCTGCTTCTCCAGGAAGTTGTACCCGTCAGCACCTGCTGAGGGCTTCGTGGATCAAACTGGCAGGTAAAAAAATTCCTGTAGAATAAAGCCAGACCAGCTGGCTTTGAAGAGAAACCCCCCAGTTTGGGTTGTGTTTGCCTCACTCACCCTCTCCTCCTCAGCCCCGGGCTTTTTCTCCTTGGGTTGTTGACCTGTAGGCTGCGTGATGCGGGCGCACAAGTGTCTGGCAGACCAAGGTTCACCTGCTTCTGTCACTCCCGAGTAAATTTAGCTGTAAAAGGTATCGCTGACGAGCAGACCTTTGTCAGCGCTGGCAAACGAACACAGCATTGCCATCCCCCTTCAAAGTACGCTGCGAGTTCAAATGGAAAATATCAAGTTGGTCGCCTTATCCAGGAATCGCTGCTTCGAGAAGAAGGCAGGCCAAATTGCTTGCACGGGGCAGAAAGCTTTCCTCCTTTACATAGATGTTAAAATTACAGTATTCCAAGAATAATCTCTGAACGAGACGGGGTTTTGTTCTCTTAATTGTGGCTGGAAGGAAACTTTTTTAAACGGAAATACAGCACACATTTCAATTCGGGTTATTAAACTGTGTTAAGTATTAAAGTTGATTGCCTTTCTTTTCGCTAGCTCATTGTGCTTTTTTATCCAAAGAAATATTAGAAGACTAAAACCTCTCAAATAGGAGGTATTAATCTCATTCCCAAAATTAGAAAGCATGCAGTGTTGAGAGGCTGAATGTCAAAATTACATGTTCATAGCACTTACACGGTGGGAATCTAGGAACCAACCACTTTTAAAATGGGAGCTAAAATAAATGGAGACTCTTCTGAGAGAAGCGATCAAAACTTGGTGTTCTTGTTCTTATTGGATTAAGGTAAGGGTATTTATATCTGGGCCCCCCCCCCCCTTTTTTTTCTTCCTGGAAGTGGCTTCTGGTGATTGAAAGGTGTAATTTGCATCAGTTTTATCACAGAGTTAAAAAAAAGAATCACCAACGCAAGTTTGCCAGGATCGGTGGTAGCATACCTGCGTACTCCATTTTCTCCTTGAAAACTATGTCATGAACTCAAACAACTTTAAGGAAAAATTTCAAAAGTGTGCATTTTACTACAATAGGCTGTTTAAAAGGAGCAAAATGTTCCTTCTAAAAAAGTGATGCGAAAAAGTGTGGGTCAGGAGCTCTTTGTAAAATAAACAAGGTTGCTATTTACTTACTTGTATAAACAACCACTCACCAAGCTGTATGTCTCTGCAGGGGCACCCTTTCAGAGAAAAACATGGACCTGATTGGCATCATCCTGTATCCATGGAAACGTTTTAAGTACCTCTCTCTTATTCAGGGTTTAAAAGCTGAGTACCGAATAAGTAAGTGTTTTTATTTAATAATTATACAGGAGGTACTTTGTGGAAGCTTGGTTCTTGGGGTTTGTATCTGTCATAATAAAGATCCTACATTTTCATCATATTTGATAAAACCATGTGTTTCGTTTCAAGCCTCCTAACAGCTCTCATTCTTAGATTAAAAACAACATTCATAAAGTCCTGATGAATGAAAATTCTGAAGTTTTTGATGATCCATTGCTGTTTGAAAACCAATGATCATAGTTCATATTACCATCAGACTTAGGCACTGCTCTAATTGCATTAAACTAGTCTGTTTTTCTGTCTTTCTGAAAAAGAACTAGGAAAAAATACTGAGAAATCAGACTATTTTCTTTTGGAAACAGCCATACCCACCTATATCACTCTTGTGGGTCACAGAAGTTAAGAGCTTAACAATCGTCTTGAAACCGAACTAAAAAACTGAAAATAAAGGAGATGCTTTAGCACAGAAATAAGTCAAATGCAAAATAATAATTTTCCTATTAAGATGTCTGCCCCACTACTTAGTTAAAATATCAAAGCAAAGAACTAACAGAAATAAGGGATTTTGTGTCTCCATATTTCCATGCAGAGAAAGAAGTATAGGCACGAGCTACGTTTATTTTCAAAACTATCATTCTGAAGATCCTTTGCAGATCAGATGTAGTTTTTCGAAGTTGCCTTGGCTTAAATTCAAAACTCACTCGGAATTCCACCTGTTAACTGGTACAACTGATGCGCGCTTTTAATGTAGTTCGATTTACAAAGTATGAAAATGAGTGATTGCTATCCGTTAGTTAACATTCTGTATGTATGCTTTAAAAATCCTGTCCTAATTTCGTTGATGGAAAACATTTTCTCCACCTGGGCCAGGTTGTAACACTAAAATGCCTTGCTGATTACAACCGCTATCAGAAAAACACGTTTCTGTCTAGAAAGATCCAGTAGTTCTCACTGAAATCCAACTGGTTTAGAGTCTTGGTTTGCTAAGTTTGTATCTCTGCATATTATTTTCATTTACTGCTGTTACTGTTTTTATTTGCCTCCTTGTCTCGACAACCCAGTCCCTGCTGAGTGCAGATGGCACAAATGATCTCTCCACCGATGAGGCTGGAACAGCCTTTGTAGAAACCGTGTAAAACTTCACTGTCTAATGAAAGTTGTTACCTTTTCACATGCTAGGTTCTCCGTATCGGGCTCATACTTTTGTTTATGTATATGCATTTACAAATGTGTAAAGATTTTATTTAAGAAGTATGATCGTGGCGTGGGCCAGTTGAACCTGCTTGACTGTGTGTGAGAGCTGCGGTGGGTCTTCTGCCTGTGGGCTGGCCCATTCGTCCTGCAGATTGCCACATGAGACCTAGGATTGTGATTGCTCTCAAGAACTTTTACTCTGAGCCAACTAAGCATATCAGAGAGGTGAAACTTTCAGCCTCCGGGGAAAGATGCAGCACACATGACAATTTTGTACATTTCCCTTCTATCATGTGCCTGTCCTTGCTACAAGGTCAAGGTTGCTGGGGTGCTAACTGGGGAAGTAGAAAGAGAGACGAATCTCGGCTCAGCCCTCTGTGCATTCAGCCTGACGTGGACAAGGAAGCTCTGACCTTGTTCGCCATCCTGAACAAATAAAATTTCAGTTATGTATGTGAATGGCAGGATTGCTTAGGTGCACTGCAAAATGCAGTGAAGACTGGGCTTGAACTTGCCGCACTGAAATCGGGGAAACGAGGTTTGCCCTGTTGCCCCCGTGTAACGGGCAAAAATCTGACTTCCTAGGCACAGATCTCGGGGAAAGAAAGGGATGAGGAAAAATGGTAGTGGTATCACTTGGGCACATAAATCTTCATCTAAGTAATATGTTCTCAGCTTTATGATTTTTAGCTTTTTAATCCAAGATGTCTTTTTTTCCTAGCATTTGTTAAAGAATCACTTCCAAAATGCTAGAAAGTCAGCCTGAGCATATTGCAGATAAAATCTGTCTCCCTTCTCCATCACGTAAAATAGAGATACAACATTTGGCCTATATTCAGTTTTTCAGGTGCTAAAAAGCAATGACAAAACTGCACAGATCGTATGATAATGGGCATATTATACAACTCTAGATCATCATATGCCCAACTTATTATTACTATTTTCGTTTTCTACAGACCACTTTTATAGCACCATCAACTTACATGGTACTTCACAAACAAAGGCTCATTGCATGCTTTTTGAATTTATAGATCAAATAAGCGGGAAAAAAGCAAGAAAACATTTAAGAATACGGCAAAGGTATGGGGAGTATTGCTGGCAAAAGAAAAGCGAGCTGAGTTCACTTTTCATCAGCAGACCAAAATGTAGACAAGGAGTTCTCTGAGGAGCACCTCCTGTTATTTTGGAGCCATCAGAGCGAAAACAGGCCCTAAATTCCAAGCCTTCCATGCTTGAAACATACCCAGCTGAAAAGGACTGAGAAAGAAACCTGGCTGACTAAAAAGCAGCTGCATTTGAGGAACGTGTACACAACAAAGATGGCTCAAATTTGGGCTTGAAAAGGGGTGGGAAAGCTGAAAACACAGAATCTTCTTCCACTGGTAGGAGCAGGCAGTTGCCAGGAGGGAAATACACAAGTTACAATAGCAATGCGATAGAGTGTGAAACCCCCAGTTCATGAGTGCACTCAAATACATGCATAACTTTAAGCCTAGCACTCAACATAACGTATGTGAAGTTGCATGTGGCCTTCCCTATATCATTGTGCAGAGCCCGAAAGCAGAAAGAATGTAAACATACATTTGGCAAGTGAGAGGGAGGGCAATGTTGTGTAGGTTTCCCTAATACAGAAGAGGAGCTGGGATTTTGTTCCCGAAGAGAAAGTAAATTGCGAGATACCTAGACAGCAGACGTGCGGTAGGAAAAAGGTGAGTTTAGCCGCAGCATTCTCAAGTTTTGAGGGAAGGGTCTAGGGCAGGGTTAAGGTAGATAAGGTGAGATGTCTGTACATTTAAGTGGCTGTTAGTGGTGGGGAGCCACTTTTCAAAGTAGAAGAACTTTATTCAGGAAACAAGTTGGACACTAGAAGTTCAGAAATACGTAGGTCTGTAAGTTGAGAAAGGGAATGGGGTAAACACTGAGCGAGATGGGAGGCAGGGAAGGAGTAAGAAGGAAGAGACGGTGTTTAAGTAGGAATAATTCTGTTTGTGGCAGTGGCTGTTTGTAGCCAGAGGGAGATGCATGCTGTGTTGCAGAAACAGTCAGATTCGGCATAAATGCAGCTGAAGGCAGGGGAAAAGATGATGTCTCTGAGAATGGGGAAAAGAGAAAGCTTTGGAATGTGCTTCTCTACTTGTCCATTTTTTATGTCCTAAAATGAAAGCAACTTTTCAAAAAGGTAAATTAAAACCACTGAAGGGGAAGGGTGAACAGATGAATAAGAGAGAAGAACCTGACGCTGCAGTGAGTTACTGGTTCTGCTGAAATACTGCATCTAAGAGGTGTGTACACACCTATACAAGCACATTAAATGCCCCTACCTCTAGACTTTCTTTAAAAGATTTAAAAGGAACTATGGGGAGAAGTTGTTAATGTAGGCCGAGGAAGTAATTTCTGACACACGCAAGAATACTGGGTAGCCAGTGTGCTTGTGTAATGCAATATGCAAAGCATAAAGGCAGGAAGGGATGAGATTACACGGTAGGGCCCAAACTTGGCGCTTCATGCAGAGCAGCCTCTGTGCGGCTCCGTGCAGGCTGTAGCACTGCCTCCGTCGCACCAGGTTCACACGCAAGTGTTAGATGACGGGCTGAGTCAATACGAAGGCCTGTTCCAGGAGCTACAGACGC